AAATAAATAAATAAATAAATAAAAAAGAGTAAAAAAAAAAATTGCCTGAGATTTGTGGAGAAAACCGCCCACCAAGAAACAAAAAGAACTGATAATCTGGCTGCTATCTGTTGTTTGAGAGTTTCATTTCCAAAGATCAAGCAATTTACACACCATATGAATGTATAACTATTGATGATTATCATGCAGCCTTTGTGGTCACTGTAGCTTTAGGCAGTATACTAGGGTGGTGTGTTGTTTACAGTTGAAACAAAGGAAAGGAAGGAGTGACTCAGCTCCTTTGTTTCTAACTGTACTAAAACCTTGACAAAACTGAACCCTGAGATGGTAACTTTACAACAAAATCAAAGGAAGAATAGATACCATTGATGAGTTATTCAGCAACTATGATGTCACTCAAAACACAAAGTGTTGGCCAATGGATGTGCTTTATTTGATCTTAGACATGTGTGGTATAAATAGTTTAATAGTTTACAAAGAAAATAACAAATGCAGGGCCGGGAAATGGTGGTACACGCCTGTAATCCCAGCACTTGGGAGGCTGAGACAAGAGGACTGCCATGGGTTCAAAGCCAGCCTGGGCTACATAGAGTTTGAGGCCAGCCTGAAGTACATAGTGAGAATATGTATAAAAAAAAAACAAACCAAACCAAAACAAAAAAAATGAAAAACAACAAGTGTATAATATCACAGAGAAATTTTCTTAGAGGATTGGGACTGGACCTCATAAAAAATCATTCACTGCAAAGGAAGAACAAAATGTTTCTGCCCAGGGAATTTGACAAAAAAAACTATGGAGCACACTGGTAAGCTGACAGGTAAACAGGTAGGTGCAACATCGCAAAGACCTACTAGAACAATAGTAAAACCGAAGATGTCAACTGTGTCCTAAAAAAGGATATGACAACAAAGATTTGTGCTATCAGTGTAAGCAATACTTGTGCATGGAACATGCAGTTGTCATGCAGGAAGACTGCCTTGAGTATGACAGTTGAAGCAAGGATTATTTCAGTGGTAGATTCTTGTTTGTATTTACATTGTAGTTCACATGAGTTTTTATTTCTGATGCAATCTTTTAGGTTTTGTAAGCAAGTAAACAGTTGATGTGAAAATGTTGATGTCTATGTAAAGTCTATGTAAGTAAAGATTATTTTTGTTGTAGAGTTCTATTGGTATTTTCATTGTGCTCATTGTTTACTATAATAAAACTCATAAAATTAAAATTAATAATTTATCAATGGAAATATTCTAAAGATAAACACTGGTATTATACACTCACAACACTGTGCCTTTAACACAAATTTTTTCATTCACCCCCCCACACTCCAACTATCCTCGAACCAGTGACAGCCAGTTTACCCTCATGTTTACACTGTCCTAAAATAGCACACTTCACACTTAAACCCTCCCACCCAAGCCAAATCAAAACTTGTACATCCATGTTAGGGTATTTCTGGTGAATAATATTACAGTAATAGCAAAGATTTAGAAGATTCCCATTAGAGTCCTGAGTTAATGACAATGTGAAGTGAATTTTAGGTATGCTATGGAGGTAAAAATTCAGGTGAAACGAGTCAGCAATTCTCACTCACTGCTTCAACGTACACTTGCTCATTATACACTTTAAAAAAAGGGCAGGTTTTGAATTGGAGACTACAGTCTCTGTGTGGTATTTATGGGAAGTAAGTTCCCTCAGAAATTTACATGAGCAGGACTTACTTCAATATAGATATAGTGCTTGCTGTTCTCTATCACATGGATGTAAGCGGTGTGGATAGACTCTTCATGGTACTTTATACCAGCAGACCAATCAGCAGCAGAGCGGAGCAACTGCAAGGCAACAATCAGTAATGAGCAAACACTGGACAATGGAAACAGCACTAGATACATTTATGCAGTGGAGTCACTCTCATTTTTTCTTTTAAGCAACTGATTGATTACAACAGTTTAATTGTCATTCATGGACTAAGTGGAAGTTAGTGGGTGGGCATTGCTAGTAGAGAAGAGGCAGGACGGAAACTGGTCCTTGTACATAGTCTATAAGAAAGGTGCCCAGCTGGACAGCACAGCCTAAAAATACCTTCTGCTGCACAGGATTATCTTCATTCAAAATTAGAAACCACAACTAGTGTTTGTAAAAAAGAGTACTTTAGAAGTACTGCTTTTCATGGCTACAAGTTATGTAACCATTTGTATTCTTCCTATAACAGTCTCACAATTGCACAGAAGGGCCTGTTATTTTGGTGCATTTATTAATAGCACCCATTATCACTCTCAAAAGTATCCTGGTTTGGGCCATATGGTATGGTTGTCCAAACTCTGCCTTAATAATTAATTACTCCTTTTTCCCAAATTTAAATGTTAATCATATTAATAAATTCCTTTTTTAAGAAATTGGTGTTTTATTTTCCATCAACCTCATTTCCATCTTGCCAAATTAATAAATTCTAAAAGACAGTACATTTAGCTATGTAATCTGGATTCTGCCTTTATTTGTGTAATCACAGGCATGTTACATTAACTCTAAATTTTCCCAAGATGGTTATAATAGAAATCCATGAGTAGGTAAGAAAATTGAGGCTCATATTAGTGAAGAAACTTGCATGTTATCACAGGACCTTGAGTTTGCCTCTTACCAGTCCACATCTTATCCCTGACCACCATGCTATACTGTCTGTTTTTACCATTGTATCACATCTCTGCATCATACCAATCAATTTGGAGTTGACCTCCTCACTTTAAATGAAACAGATCAAAGTGAGGCTCATAACCACTTCCTCTAAATGGTTTCCCAACTCAAAATACGCTGTTGTCCAGAGGCATGCCATCATTTTATCACTTTAAAGTTAGTGTGACCTTAGGGGGCTCTTTGGTGAGCCTCTCCTCAGTGTCCATATCAAATTGCACATCTGGCTCCATCTTTCTTTGGATCATTTATCAGATTCAACCCTTTCTTATCACTCAAATGGCATCTCTCTGTTCCAAGACTCACCTGCTCTTGGACAGTAAAAGCTTCTAGTTCAGATACCTGAGTATAATCTAAATACATACTGCTGAGCAAGACTGCCCATGTTCAAAGCCTCTCTTAATTACTTACTGATTGTTTATCTTGAACACATTTCTTAATGTTCGTTGAATCATATTTCTGTTCTATAAAATGGAGTATCTATTGGTATTCTAGAGAGGATTAAATGAATTACTGTGATGTGTAGCCAGAGACCTAGTAGCTAGTAAGTAGTGTGTAAGTGTTATTACTAACAAAAGCATTAGAGGACACATTTGAGCAGTGGTAGGTCACATCCAAGATGTGCCAGAGCAGACTGTGGCTGTGCACAGCAGGGTGGATGAAAGGACATAGAAAGCTTCCCATGGAGGGGCTGGGGATTTAGCTCAGTGGCAAAGTGCCTGCCTGGCAAGCTCAAGGTCATGAGTTCAATCCCTGGTACCGGAAGAAAAACAGAAAAAACAGAAAAGCTTCCCATGGATTTCTCAACACTAAGCAACCACTGCTTGTCTTTCTTCTTCAGCATTCTTTAGCGTTGCAGTATGATATTAGCATATAGCAAGTCTACCATAAGTCCTCAATGATATTTCTTAACAAACAGCAGAAGATAGCTATCACAATAAACTTGATATTTCTAATTTGAAACGAATGTTGAAACTCATGAGGTCAACTGAAAAAGCAAAAGGAATAGTTCCATGCTGATTAAGAACATTCAAAGTGATCCGATATATAATCAATTTTATGTCTATTATGCATGGAGGGTCTGATCAAATTGTTACTCTAAATAGTAACTTTTGGAAATTGCACCTGGGTGTGGTGGTGCATGCCTGTAATCCCAGCACTCTGGAGGCTGAGGCAGGAGGATTGCTGCAAGTTCGAGGCCAGCCTGGGCTACAAAGTGAATTCAAGGCCTGCCTGAATTGCATAGTGAGACCCTGTTTCAAAGAAAGAAAAGAAAAGAAAAAAGAAAGAGAGAAAGGGAGGGAGGGATGGAAGGAAGGAAAAAAGAGAGAGAAAAAAGAAAGAAAGAACAAACAAAAGAAAGAAAGAAATAAAAAGAAAGAAAGAGAAATTCCATCTGCATTTCAGTGGTTCTACAAAGAGTATTTCAGAATTCTTACGAAGAATTTGTTATGGCTTATACCTAGATGTCCCCCGATAGCCTCATCCATTTATAAGCACGGCTTTTCAGAGGTGGCTGGATCTAGGTTGTGTGATACTGGGATTAAGGATGTGATGCTGGTGTTAAGTGTGTGATGCTAGAATTTAGGAAGGGCTACCTTGAATGTTGATGGAACCACCCATAAGGAGGTTAGCCTAGGAGGGATAAAAGGGAGAGGAAAGCTGCTTCTCCTGCTGCTGTTACTGGTTGCTTGATGCCTTCTGCCTGCTCTGCTTTGCTATGGACAGTTTTTCCTCTGCCACACTAGCCCTCTGCCAAGCCACTCTGTCTTGGAGCCAGCCAGCTATTGACTAAAACCTCCTCAAACTGTGAACCAAAAGAAACTTTTCCTCCTTTAACTTTTGGTATTGGGTATTTTGTCTCAGCAATGAGAAAGTAACTAAGACATGGTTCAAAATCACTGATAGTGCCATCCTCTATGTTTATTTACCCAGTATGTTATATTTACTACAAAATACTCCCTTCTAGCCATTTTAGTTAATGTCATCAGATGAATATGTGCAAAGAAATTGGAAAAATTTACTCTGGAACATAAATAGTCAAATACCACAGAATAAAGCTTATATGGAAAATTTCAGTAAAAAATGAACCTGAGTGAGAAAATATCTTGATTTTTATATCAGCTTCAAAGAACTGAATTATTGTTCATCAGGTACAAATAACACAGTGTGAATAGAAGTTCCAATTTCTCTCTATTCACATTAATGTTAAATATTGAATTTTATAGCTAAGGAGCATGGGACTGAAAAATACAGGTTATATCAAAAAGATTCTTATGATACAAATCCTGATTCAATTCATATGAATTTAAACAATGTCTATAACAGCAGTGTATTATAGTAAGACTTATTTGTGTCTTACTAAAGATTTGTATCATAGCTTTGCACTTATTAACTCATGGACATTGGACAAATCATTTCAATGTCATGGAGTTTCCTCCACTGTACAGCTGAAACCTTTCTCTTCCTCCCCCTTCTCTCCCACTCTCCCAAAGCCATTGTAAAGAAAATATTGTGTAACACAAATGTGCTGATAATGGTATATAGCAGTTGATAGTGAATCTTGTATATGTGGGTATGTATCTCTCTGTAAAAAGTTATTGGCAAAGTTTATAAATTACTCATGGTGGTAATATCTTAGTCTCCTCAAATCCAGAAACCTTAAAATTTCTTTCATTTCTCCCTCTCAAAATTTTCTCTGATTCACGGACTCAATATACACATTAACATAAGATAAAATTGAGGACGGTCAACTAGGTGTCAACTTGCATGTTATATCTAATCAGTTTAGAGTAGCTTCTTGGACAGCTATGTTGAAGAAGGGATTCTTAGAACAGGGCATGCTGGGAAAGAATTCTGGGGTTAATTACCAACTGCTGCTATGAACAGGGAGCATAAAGGTCAGGTACTTGCCACTTTTCCAGTAAAGGGTAACAGTGAATATTTCCCTTTTGGGGCATTTCATGTTTAAAATAAATAAAGCTGCCCATCAAAAGAAGACCATTCTGTACATCAATTTGTGGGAGCACATAAGCAAAACTGGTGGGGGGAGGGGACTGGCTCCCTGATGCCTGTAACACAGCTGAATACAGTATGGGGATGACCTGTATCCTGAGGTGTTCAGTGTTATCTATCCAATTGCCCAAGTGCAAACTCATCCCCTTTACTCACAGGGAAAACTCATTTTATTGGAAAAAGGTCATCATTTGTAGACAAACTTGAAAGATACCTTTTAAGCAATACAATAAAAAAGTCACTTGGGATTATTAGTGATTTACTATTCTATAACCAGTTAAAATCTGCCTATCACCCCAAGATAAATTGAAAATGACTTTCCTTTTTGGTCAACCTGTACTCTTAAACCATGGAACTCTGAAGTTATATAAAAATCAATTTCATTGGAAGATCTAAGAAATTTTTATCAATATTTCAATAAGTCAAACACATTTGGATTGACTTCATGGCTTTTTTTCAGTTTAAGACTCACTCTTTTCTTTCTTATTCACTGACCTGACCAACTTGTCTCATTTTTCTGTTTTAAACCAGTGTAACTGGGACGAGCCTCAGATCCTCCCCCAACATGAATACATGTGGCTTCCCTTACACATATTGGAACTCAGATACGACCCACACTTTCCAAAGTTCAAGTTTGAACATACAGTTTTAAAGTATATGAAAACAGCATGCTTCTGATTTTATGGTGTAGTCTCAGTATTTAACCAAGACCAGTCATTTTCCTTTGTCTTTTGTCCAATTTTTTAAACTTAAAATATAACCTTCTAACCACAAGTCCTAATCTTCTTACATAGGATGGACCCAAGTCAAGTATACAAGCTAATTAACGTAAACTTCTTCTTGAAGGAAAACTTTCAGAATTGTCTTAGATTCTGTCCTCAGTTTCTTTCCTTTCTCTCACCACATGCTTTTACTTCCTATAAATTCAGCAAATAGCTTAATTACTTTTTATTTTTCTAAGCTTCCAAGTCCATCTGAACAAAGGCCGTTTAGCAGAGAAGCACTCTGTCCATGTCCCTCAAGCATAGGCTGGCATCTCTGTAAAAGCTCCCAAGTAATATGATTGAGGAGACAGGGAAGTGCTCAGTTCGTTGGGCTTTATTCTTTCTATATTATAGAAGAAAACAGCAGAAAATAAGATTGAGAATGTGACCCACAGAATGTGGCTCACCCTATTAAGTTCCTTCAACTTCTTTTTCAGTTCAGTGTCAATTACTTGTGTCACAATGTACAGTTATTCACTTACGGTAATTCTTTGCCTGAGTCAAGAGAAACAATTAATCTTGTGGCTGAAGGAAAGAAAATAAAGATAGTTTTGGGAAATGAGACTTAAGGGGAAAGAAGACCTAGGAAAAAATATGTAGTTGGGGACTGTCGGAAGCCAGGAAGATGCACAGGGAGGTGGGTGACAGGAACTATCAAAAGGCAAAGCTGATATGCAACTTTGCCTTTCCGGAACTGTGGTGGCTACAACAATGCTAGGTCTTACTGGAAACAACCACCACCTTTAACAGATCCATCAGGTGCTGCAACCAGACTGCTCAGGATAGGGTCTCATCTCTACCACTTACTCTTATGTTAACCTCTCAAAGCTCTAGTTTCTCATCTGTAAAAATCAGTGTGGGGAGGGAGAGAAGCACAGCTTATAAGCTGATGAAAATAAATTAGAAAAACCACAAAAAGCTTGGCACAGTGCTAGACACGGGGTAAAGGCTCCATGTTCAACAACAGCTTCCTCCAGCCAAGTCCCAGAGTAACACTCACAACTCCGTTGCTACGTGGAGACCTGGTTCACAAGAGGAAAAAGCCCTCACAATAAGAACTTCTATGGAAAGGAGAGCTGTGGCTTCCTTCCACCCCACCTACCTACCTTACTCTCTCCATCTCTGTCCACCACGCGGGTCCTTTCAAAAAGATCCTTTGGAGTGTCATTTGGATGTTTTCCAAGGGTGAGAACAAAATTTTCCAGTAGTATAATTTAGATATCGTTTACTTGCCTATAAATTTTTTTTCCTCTATTTTCTTTGCCTTCCTCCCTTCCTCCCTTCTTTTCTCCCTCCCTCTCTCCCTTTCATGTGAACAGCATGGAGATGACTCCAATGGAATTACTTTTCTCCACATAGGTAGGGTTCTTAGCACAACTGTCTAAGGGATGATTTTACCATAAGCCGACCAATTTAATAAAAAGCACGGTTCTCATGTGTTGATACCATGCTGATGCTGACAAGGCATTAGCCATATTCTTTTCCCTTAACCCTGCAGAGGTTCCAGTCGAAAACATTACATTAAGAGTTTATATTTCTTAGGTCAGTCACAAACTCTGAAAGGTTGAAAATGAGTCAAATGCCCAGTAATGCATCTGAAATGGCAATAAAAGCACTTGGGAACCTCGTTTATTCTTATTAGAGAGAAAACATGCATTATACACCCCCTGCATTAGCAGTCTCAGAACCACCTCTCTCACTTTCTCCTCTCCCAGGCCTGTTCCTATCTTCTCTGAGTGCTCTTGGCAGGCTTCTGAGAATGCCTAGCACTAAGGGGAACTGCAGATTATTTTAAAAGTGTGGGTGAAAGTTGCCGAAGTCAGCTCTCAGGTCTGCATGACTTTTTCAGAAAAGATGATCCACTCTGCCTTATACATCCCCTCTCCCCACAACCGGCTGTGACATCCTATCATGAAAGGGTGTAGCCAATGTTTTATAGTCAAAGATTAAATAACTGGGTTCCCTTCTGCAGGGGAAAGAATGACTTGAATTTTATCTACTATTGACTTTATCATGTGAAATGTTCTTTTTCTTCATTTCAATAAATATAGTGTATAAGGATTTTTTTCCCAGAACTAGCCTTGGTGACCCTTCCAGAGAAACATCATCTCCTTTGCTGCAAGCTTGTGAAACACTAGGGAGAGCTTAAAAGAGCCATCACTGATAGAACACAAACCGCCACAGCGCTGAGTGCTTTGCGGGACTTGTTCATTTACTCATCACTACCCATCACTCAAGCCTATGGCGCAGACACTAAAACCACCCCTGCTTTATAGAAGGTGAAATGTACACACAGGTGGAGTCATTTTTCCAAGGTGACACTGCTAGCTAATATGTAGGAGAGCTGAAACTGTAACACAGTTTACAATCTACCTCTTAATTCAAACATCATATTGCTTCTTTACTATCAGGCTTGTGACCTCTAAGTTCTGTTATGAAACAATCATGTTTAAAAACAATTCATTGAAATATTAATTGCATTAAAATTTTCAACTGAGTGCCTAACAGTCATTTGATTGTGGTCTTATGATAGCTAAGAAAGGTTTGAAGATGTGATGATAAACCCTTTAAAAATTAAGTAGCCCACAAATAACTAGGGCTCTATCTCCTTACCCCTTATGGATTCTTCGGAAAACTAGAGTTTGGCCTTGACGACTATTCTCACCTTCTTGGTGCTGTACATTCCAGTGTCTGTGAGAAAATAAACCCTGAGAGCCAGTCAGCAGTGAAGGAAGTGAAGCAACCATGTGGTCAGATGTTTCCGCAGGAGGAGAAACATGGCAGGGTACCGTTTTGCCTTTTTTTTTTTAAAAAAGTTTCTGGTGCTCTCAGACTTTCCTATCTCCAAAACTATGTACTTCCTGGCTGCACCACTGTTTTCACAATTAAAATTATTTCAAAACTTCTGAAAACTAGTACTTCCAGATTTTGCCAGGGCTAACACTTTTTAAATTGGGGAAGGGGTTCCCTAAGCAAAAGAATACAAATTTATAAATAAAACATGAGATATTTGTCTTCAGTGTGGCCTGGGGAGGTCAGGAGTTCCAACCCCACACAGCTGGACGCTGGTACCGAATGTGGCTTCCGAAAGTGAGCAGCTCCTTCCCTATTTCATGGCCTTCAGTCCAGCCAGTCTGGAAGTAAATTTTACTTCAGGGACTCAGATGATGAAAAACTAACTGTGGAAATATCAGATTTCAAGGACCAGATGAGGGGCTGGGAATTTAGCTCAGCGGCAAAAGCGCCTGCTTAGCAAGTGCAAGGTCGTGAGTTCGGTTCCCGGTACCGGAGAAAAACCAAAAAAAAAAAAAAAAAAACAAAAATCAAGGACCAGATGGATAAAAAGAAATTATAATCTTAGAATGTAAGAATTCGCCAATGTTGTCTTATTTTCTCATTTACTATTCCTTGTAATATTTGTCTTATCACTAATATGGAGCTAAACATATGTGTGATGTTTAAATTTACTTCATTAGTTTTGTTTTCTCCCAAAGGTTCACAGAAAAAATGTTTCATTATCAAGGTACACATTCCAACCAGTGGCTTCTATTTCTATTTAGTAATAAATATAAGTACTTCAAAAATTAAGATGTGTTTTATTTAATCAGGGACCCTAACTATATGAGCAGGACAAAATAGAAGGTAATTAATACAATGATACTGCGGTTATTAAAGATTCTGAATGAAACACTTCCCTTTCAATATCTGAAGGGACTACAGATATAACTCACACCAATCATAAAGCTTTCAGATAAAAAAAAAAGGAAGATCAAAGAGTGGAAATTAATTGCTGAGGCCACCTGCTGCTGTTTTAGAATGCATTTTATTACATTTAACTGAACAATTTTACAGAAGCACTGTCCAGCAACACTTTCCAGTACTTTATTATACCTACTATCAAGCTGCAAAGTTTATGTGACCCAGAAGAGACCCACCACAGGGGCTGCCAGAGTCCTTCGTGACCTCACGTAGTATGCAGGCCACCAGTCATGTCCTGTGCTAATGGAGGTAAATTCTTCTAATGTCTAATTTTTCTCTGAAGACTATCAGTGACATTGAACTAATTACCATTCACTCTTCCTTTGTCCTTAATTCTTGGTCATGTTCTAGTTATTGTGCCCATTATGTCTCTTCTTAAAAATACCTCATAGATATAAGATATTTATATAGATATAAGATATATCTACATTTATAAGATATATCTACATTTAGGTATAAGTTACATTGTATATCTATTTATAGATATACTGTAGATATAAGATATATCTACATATATAGATACACCATATATCTATCTTATAAATATATTTTTCCTTTCATTTCTACTGTAGACCTTCAGTGTATGGCAGAATTACTTTTACAGCCTTTTTCTTCTCCCTTCATATATATACATATATATATATATACACATGTACTATTATATATGCATACATATACTATGTATATTGATACATAGTATATTAATACACAGTATACAATGTATATCAATACATAGTGTACATATAATAAGTTTTAGAAAGAGGGTGAATTGAATCTAACACAGAAAATACAATACTAAATTCCAAAAAGGTCCAGTCAGGTTTGCTTTGGAAAAGTTGTCCTTATGGAAAACCTAAAGCCAATGTAATAGACATTTAGTCCAATAATAGGAACATTACCCAGTAGCACTTTGCAGAAAAGAAAAGCCAGGCTTACCTGTATGCTGGCGTGGACAGCCCCAGGCACTTGGTGTCTCAGCTCATGGGCTGTGGTTTGAGACTTTGGAAGCAGAAAAGGATAAGAAAGGGACCGATATTTTGGTTTCATAATCTAAAATTTTAAAAAAGCAGATGAAAAAGATTCAAATGAGAAAAGAGGTCCATTCTTCTCTCCTTTATAATTAGAAAAAAAAAAGTAATGGACATTTCTAAGTGAAAAGCAGGATAGTATTTATTTTTGTTTTTTATTTCCGATAGTACCTTCTTTTAACTTTTATAGCAAGCATGTGTTATTTTACATTGATAAAGAAGGATTAAATGTAATCACTTTTTTTGTACTGAGGATTGAGCCCAGATAGCACTGAGCTGCTCCTCAGCCCTTTTTTTAAATCTCACTTGTAGACAAGTTCTCACTAAGTTGCTCTAACTTGTGATCTTCCTGCCTCAGTTTCCTGAGTAGCAGAATTTACAAATGCGTGCCATTGCACCTGGCTGTGGGTTGTAAACATTTTGCCACAGCAGTAAGCCACTATATCATTTTTAATAAATCATAATAAAATAGTATGAAGAATCATAATTTGTCTAGCAAATTACTATCAGTATTTTACTTATGCCTAATTTTATTTGAATTATTAGAAGCACTAACAAAATAAATTACCTTATTAGATTATTTCTTTAGTTTAAATACCTGGAGACATTTTTAGATTAAAAATTACAGAGAAAATTTATTGGTGTTTTATCAATTTCCCTTTCCAGGATAGGGCACAGGAGTACTAAAAACACCCAAATCAAGATAGGTGTGGTGGCACATATCTGCAATTCCAGCACTCCCGTAGGCTGAGACAGGAGGCCTGCAAGTTTGAACCCTGGTAACTTAGCAACTTTGTGAGACCTCATTTTAAGGTAAAACTTTTTTTAAAATGGGCTCAGTGCAAAGACCCTGGGCTCAGTTTCCAGTACAAACAAAAAAGTCCAGCTGTGGATACTAGCATTTTTTTTTAATCTTTGCCAGGAGAGTACAGTGAGTTAAAAGTAGTATTACTTTGTTTATCCATTCATCTCCTCTAAGTTTTTGTTTAAAGTATTTCCACTAGAGCTTCCGCTAAACTTTAATGTGAATGATCAGTAAAGACAGACTTTAAGTTGTAGGCAAAATTAATTTCCTGCCCAAATTACCCAGAGGAATGAGGCCTCATCATAACAGATAAGTGGGTCCTTCACAACACTGGACGCTATGTCATGAACTTGTGAATGCTTGCACAAGTCCTTACAGCAATGAAGGCACCACGGAGGACACCGTTCTGAGAAAGGAAACACCGACCGCCCAGTGCCACTCACCTTGCTCAGACCCAGCCTGCAGAATCTTGTACCTGAATGAATGAACCTGGTGCAGTTCCACGACTGCACGGCCTACGGTTGGAGCCCCGTCATCTAATCAAGATTCCTATCCCCTACAGCAGCCCTCCATGAGGCTACTGAGTCCAGCCCGGTAAATACTTCATCAAGGGCTGGGGATTTAGCTCAGCGGCAAAAGCGCCTGCCTGGCAAGCGCAAGGTCGTGAGTTCGGTTCCCGGTACCGGAGAAAAACCAAAAAAAAAAAAAAAAAAAAAAAAAATCTTCATCAATACTAAGAGTCCAAGATGCTAAAAGAATCAAAACCACAGACCCCAGCAGAAGCATCTGTTCCCTCTCTACTGGAATTGTCTGCGGTGTGAAAGCTCAGGGACATTTTCTTCTTTTATTCATGCCGAGAGGCCCAAGCACTGTGACAGCAGTGCACCTGACAGCAGATGGTGACACAGCTGTGGCCACAGCAGCCCCTTCGTGCCAACTCTCTGGGTTTCTCCTGGGGCTGGGCCTGCCTCTGCTCATGACAACATTCAGTACCTTCGTGAAGTTCCATCGCTGGATGAAGTGGCGCGCCACATCACGAGCTGCCTTCCCGTGGACCACAGACGCAATGTCATGCCAGGGCATCCGGGGAGTAGAGTACCTGTCGATGAAATCTGCCCAGGGGCCCCAGGCGAGTACCCATCACTTTCTTCTGTGCAGGGGACAGAGGCATTCTGACCCCAGCTATGATAGCTAAAAGGAAACCTATTAATAAAGCCTGTTAAACGTGCCTATTTCTGGGTAGATCACCTTTATAATCAGGGGAAACACAGATCTCATGCTGAGAAACACAGTCCCCACGTACCTCCTGCAGTACATTTCCCTTTTACTCTGTCCACCGCCAGGCAAGGGAAGATGTAAGCTGGTACAAATTACCTAAAGCTGTGTGGTTTATATATTTTTCTTTTTTTATCCTGCTGAATAACGGCAGGTTACATATGCAGTGCTCTCTTAGACAAATAAGCACAGTAATAAACTGAAAAGATGCCATTCTAATGCTGGACAATAAAGAAAAAGCATAAAAGATGATGATCAACGGAAGGCTGCCATTACAGATTATTACTTAAAATAGGGCTGTATGAAACCTAGAGGTTTCCTAGGATGGCTCCATTTCATGTTCTTTTCTTTTTGTAACTATAAAGAAAAGCCCTTCGGTATCTAAACCGTGTTTCTTAAGTTTTACCAAATATTCGAAGCTAAACAAAGACAAAACAAAGCAAAACAAAATGCATTGAGATCATGCACATGCACACTTGTTGAACTGCTCAAAGATAAAGGACAAACTATAACACCACCACACCCATGACATTTACCAGCAAAAGGTTTATCCAGTTGAACCCAGTCTTTGAACACAAAGTTGCAGTAGTCCTTCCCATGCCAGAATCTGGTCTCCCCGTGTAGCTCTCCCACGCCAGTCTGTAAGCTGCGGATGGAGCCGGTATCTGTAAATGCAGCAAGACTCTCTCAGACACTGTAGGTTAGATGGCCCCCAGCAGCAGAGGTTCACCTTGCACTTAAGGAATACCTAAACATGTCCTAACTTTTCTTATGACATAACTAGGGCAGCGTGTGTATACTTGATTGGAGGGTATGAGCTGATAAGGCTTTACAACTCCCACAGGTGTATTGTTAGGGGCTAGTTGGGCCTCATTTGCCAATGAAAAGTAACATTCTCAGGGAGTTGGACAGCTTGTTCTTACCACCCACCTACCACAGGGGTAAATGAATAAAGATCTCCGGAGGTGGGAGTATGAGAGGACAAAGCGAGGTGAGGGTAGAGAAACACAAAACACTAGGCAAGAAAGAATTCAGGCCTCCTCTTCCTCATAAATGGGGCTCACAGCCAATATGTAGTTCTTTTCTTCTCCATCTCGAAAGAACCTCATGTGTACAGACCCTCCGGGTTCTGGCATGGAATTAACTAGCTGGATGATACAGAGCTTTACCTTTTTGGGTCAGAAATCCCTACCACGTAAAAGGAATAACTTGGCCTATAAAACAACTAAGATCTTTTGGTCTCCTCATGTTCTGTATTTCTAAAATCACAAAGGACACTCATGAAAAAATATAACAGAAGCTTATGACTGAAGCACAAAAGCAGCAATCTACTGTAGCATTTCACAAAGAGCTTGATGATACCATTTTACTTAAGGGTAAATACTTTGAGTTAAGCAGTTCATGAGTTTAGGGGATTTGTCTACCATCAAGACAACGAAGCAGGATGACTAGCAGAACCACAGATCACAAATGCAGCACTTGGCACACAAGAGGCAGATAGAGATGGAATGCTAAAGTACTGCTGAAGGAAAGAACAGTACTGCTTAAAGTAGCCAGTAAGAGATCTGGACTTGTTGCTCCGCCGTCACCACCACCACACTCTCTTGGAACACTTTCTATTGAATGCAAACCTGTTGCTTAGACACCTTCTAGGATCACTGCTGGCTTACAGGAGGTTCAGGTCCTAAGGCCTTAGAGTATGGAGAGAGCTCTTCCCAACCTAGTGCCAATCTCTGAGGTCCTTGTCTTCCTCCCACCGAACCCCAGGCCCCAGAATGCCACATTTTTCACTGTATTTGAATAGGTCTGATCTGCCTTACCCATGTGCAGTTTGCACCTTACTCCTCTTGCGTGGAATGCTCTTTCCCCCTGTAGTCTGATATCCTGGACATCCTTCAAGAGCCACGTTATCTGTCACCTGCCCTCAAGCGGCCTTTTCTGTGGGAAGAGGCAGTCACAGCCCCACTGCCACCCCAACAGGAACTGCACCCTTAGTGCCCCTGACTCTGAGATGCAATTGTACGGGATGCCTCTCCTGCCCCCCAGGAGTGTCTGCTCCTCTGGAGTGCGGATGGTATCCTTCACTGCCTGGTGTGGCTACTGATATCCAGGAGGCAATTAATCAATATTTACAGAGCAAACGTTTATGTGATCTCTACACACAACTGTGATATCTAGAACTGAATAATTAACCTGCCGAAGGCTATGGAAATTTTCTATTAAAAAAGACTTAAGCTGCCAAGGTTAACATAACTAATGTTAAAGATAGACCTCTACTGACTTCTTCCAGTGGTTTATTTTCCTGCTGTACAAGGCTGAGAGGCAAAAGCACTGGTAGGTCTGTTTTCTCAACTTTAGGCTCTTTACAAGAAGCAAGGCACATAATTAAAAGGAAAAAAAAAAAAAACTGAGGGAGGGAGACAAAACTTGAGAGTACAAAATGGGCCAAATTCCAAATTTTTAAAAAATATATAATTTGCTTTCATTGATAAAGTAAGGTTTTCTATAAACACACACTGTTTTAAAACTTTTTTTTTTTTAACCTACAATTCCTCATCATAAGGGGGGAAGAAAACAAAGCAAATTCCAGGTCTGATATCTTGGTACCTATGGAATTCAACTGCTCATAATTCAGATTTGTTTTTGTTTCCAGCCAAAACATAAATTATTCCAAATAAATGACGGTCCGCCTCAGAACCAATGGACCATGAAGGCAACAGAATCAAGTGCTCAGCAGTCGCTGCCCCGGCTGCTCAGGGGTGCACAGCGCGGACCTGGGGGGCGCTCATCAGGCCGTATCTGGCTCACGAGTCACTTCACAGCCACATCAGCCCTGCTTGGGGTTTGTCTTCCTTCTCTGTCAGCAGCCCAGACCCTGCTGCTGGAGGTTATGGCGAGGGTGTCTTTCTGCTCTTGCCCTGTGTCTCTGGGCCTTGCCGTGTCCTCTCCTCACTCCTCACCTCTGCTCACGAGCTTCACTCCCCTACCACTTCTCGGGCCTGCCTGCCTCCTCCCTGCCTGCCTCCTGCTCCCTAACACTGTTTCCCTTGAGTCTCTCCTGTCTTTTTCTACAGATTCCTAAACATAGCTCCAGGCCTGGCTTCTCTATTGAGTACTAGATCCGCAATCACTTCCAGCACCCCAGTGGCAGGATTTTCCTAGTGGTTCCACCAGAACTTTAAAACTACTCAGGACACTAAAAGTTGGAGCACCCCTACTACGTGAAGTCTTCTCTTGAGCTCTCTACTTACTGTTCATAATTACTCAGGCTCTGGCCTCTCAGTCACCTTCGCTCTTCTCTTCCTCACTGACTTCTCCACTCCCTTCCCACCACCACACCCCAAATCATATGGGAATTCTGCTAATTTTTTTTGGAAAAAGTTTTTCCCACTCACTTCAATCTTGCGCCCACTGGCACAACCTAGTTGGACTCCCTTTGTCTCTATGTAGCCTTTATAAAACCACACTTCAATCTCCCATCCCCGGATTCTCCAGCATTTAGTGGATTAGGGCAATGTTTCCGCCCTATTTGCCAGGCCCTCCATGGATTAGTATCAATATACCCTCCCAGCCCAATCTACACAAATTATTTAATCCTTAACCACAATTTCAAATTTCCAAAATTCTGAAAATCCAAATTATTTTCATAGTCCACTTGTTAGCAAAATGTGGTTTGAACTAGTAATAAGTTACTTATTTTTCTTGATTGTACTGGGTATTGCACAAGTATGGTTTGCTCACAGTTTGGGTATTTTCTGGACCCTGCTGGCAGCATAATATAAAAAAGGGTGTAGGCATTATATTTCTAAAACCTAGAGCCTTCTGGTTTCTGAAGCACATCTGATTCTGCATAAAATATTATAGACCTGTATGTATCCACCAGTTTAAATACTCAGGTCCAGTACAGGTCCTCAATGAGTTATATATTTTAAAAAAATCTTTTGTTTTTTAAAGTTTTGGATTTTGGAATTGTGGGTATGGGTTTACATCTGTGGAAGAGATTTCACAAATTTCTGTAGTAGAGGTATTGACCTTTAAAGAATTACCAAGGTACTAATTTTTGAACTTTAAAAATTACCAATATTTAAAATTATATTTCTATTAGATAATAAACTCTTTGGTAGCACTGAGAGAATCTTATGCATTCCTTATACTGCCTCCCAGAGAACAGAGTTTAGAAACAGCATACTATTCATTACCCTTCATTACATATTCAAATCTGAAAAACACATCTCAACTGTTTCAAAAGTAATTCTCTCTCATCTATTTCATGTTACTTACAACAAAATGATCAGCAAATACTTTCTGAACTTAAGAGTGAAATTCAACCTTCTTTGAAGTACATACCAAAGCAATGTCAATCTCACAAGGAAATCCAACATATAAAACAAATACAGATGGCACTTTTCTAGTTGAAGCAGGTTCTAATAGTAGTGTGGGGGGGAGACAGGTGACATCTATGTAATGTCTTCTGCAGAGCCTTAGAGAAACTCCAGGGTCCAGCGAATAGAGTTCAGTAAGCACTGCTCTACAAGGACTCAACTCTCCCTTGGCTTTTCTTATTCAGTAAATTATTGCTCATACTAAGAGACAATGCAAGCAGAAAGAGAGAAAAATCACCAGCATCCTGGCTCCCTAACAAGTTAGCATCATTTGGTCTTCAGCACACTTCTGCCAGACATGGGCGACACAGCAGTAGCTCCCCAACACTGGCATCTGACTTTGCTCCTCACACAGCCTTCCAGTTCAGCTCATGGAAACCCCACTTTTCCAGTGGGGCTGAAGACCTGAACACCTCACAACCTCTCACATCCTCCATCTGGAGCGCTGCTAATTGCCGTACATACCCACCCTGTCTGCTCTGAAGAATGACCCTATAAAAGCCTAGGTCAAATCATGTCTACCTTTGCTCAAAAACATCTAGCGAGTTTTGTGGGAGCCCAGGTGCTTACAGCACCTCTCTGCCTTTTCCTAGCATTGTCTCACAGCCTGTCTCACCACAGCCATGTTCCTGAAACATACCAACGCTCCTGCATCGGAATCTTTGCACTTTGCGTTCCTTCTGTCTGGGACACCTCCCCCAGATGCCTTCTTATTCTCACTCTTCTCGTGCTTTTGAACACTGTTGAAAAGTCACCTCACTAGGACAGCATTCTGTGACCACCTATATAACATGGTAACTCCACCCTCTGCCTTTCTCCTTATCCTCCATTGTGCTCTACTATAATTACCACCACCTGACATAGTGTGATTGCCAATCTGTTTGTATGTACGATTCGCACCTTCACTCCTCAATTGCATTTGATCTGTTATGCACTGTATCCCTGGTACCTAGAACAGTACTTGACATATTACAGGGGCTCAATACACACTTATTAAACAAGTAAGTCTCTGACATTAGTTTTGTATCCACAGTTAAGGTTCCAATGATTTGCACAATTTCATCAAAGAGATGCAACATTCACTATGTTCTTCCTCATTTCCCTACTCTGAAATTTAGGTTGTTTACTTCCTCTTTTTCTCTAAATAAAAATGCTTCACTAGACACGCATCCAGTTCAGTGGTGAAGGGGATATGACTGGATGCCAAGGTATCTTTCATGAACAACAGAAACTGAATATATCTGTGTGCTCAGATCACCACTGTAGAGATCACTTCCTCAGCTTGAGGTTGGCCTGAGTTACTTCATGTAGTCAGCACCTGACTCACATCTTTTCCATTCTCTCCCAACACTACTGTCAGCAACACTAACACTCGGTGACATTCAGACCCTGTTATGGTTCAGCAGCCTTGTTTGTCCATCTCATTTTTAATGTCAGTTCCAAACCTTCAAAGCTACACGTCAAGGTTGCAAGGCGCTCCTTGGACCCACTCTCAATTCTTTACCTGATAAACAGAGCTGGACTTTGAGCAGTGGTGTTTCCCAGCATTCTTTAGTTTAGGTTCCTAGCATTTTTTAAAAAATGCATTAACTATGTGTATGAACCAAAGCTCTAACATAATTTTTAAATAAATTGGTATTTTTAAAGTCATCATGACATTGATAAACACTTTTAAGTGGCGAGCATACCCAGGGAGATGTTTTATTTCTATGCCAGAGTACAGCTAGTGTTTGCTGGGTTTGAGGACAACTCCCAGAAATTCTTGGTTTTACAGTAAAAACTGCACCTTAACTAAATCCTGTATTTTGCACTAACAGCTATGACGTTGACCATTCCTGCACTGTTGCCCAACTCATTGCCTTCACTGGCAAAGTCTCTCTCTCCCCACTGATCAATTGACTTCTAGATCTGATTTACAAGTGGTGTACTCAAAAAGTCTCTCTGGATCATCATAGAGGAAGACATCCCACCTCCAACACAGCTTGCACACACGAGGGCATTGCACGTGCCATGCAGTCAATTACGAGGTGAGCTCAAGGTCCTCAAGGCATAGGGTTGTTGCACTGCCACAGAGTGAGCTCTCCATACTACACGTGGCCTGAGAATTTGTGGAACAGAAAGCCAATCTGGAAACACGTTCATTGTACCCATGCAGCAGACATTGCAAAGAAAGCTGAAGCCTGAGGGGTTCTGCCACTCACAGGTCACTTACCGGCGCTGGGTCTAGTGAGTCCCTGTTCAGACCCACTGGAAGGGCGAAAGAGTTTCAAGTGGGGTTTTAAACCATGGATTAAATTCTGGTGACTTCTATAGTGATTAACATAACCTGGAGAAAGTTGAGAGTTCTTCTTTTTACTAAGAAATATATACAGAGATATATACAGCAAATTTTCTAAACTGGAAATTTTAATCATTTTGCAAACTAGCCAGGCTAAAAAGTCAGTCATAAATTCCTATAGAGTAGAAAATTACAAGGCTTTAGGGCAGATTTGCAAAGAATAATAAATTTACAAAATATATAATGTTTGATGTTTGATGATATAAGGATGGGAAGACAATGAAATTTCTTCTACCAAAAATTTATAAAGTACCTCTAAATACCTTTTGCCTTCTTAGCTTGGCATGTTTTAGAAACTCGTAGCCATTCTGCTACCATCAAAAGCAAGAATTGTGGATGTTATGACTACTTTGTGTGCATAGAACAATATACGTGTTAAAAATGAGTGAAGCAAGCCACGAGGTGGCAGGATGCTGAATGGGATGATACAGCAACCTTTCCGCCCTGCTCATCTGACTATTACAGAAAGGCTGACTTTGAAACAGGCATGCTGTGGCTGGCTAAAGAGAGATGCAGGGCATCTAGAGAGTCCCTGCCAGAGAAGTGACTCACTGGAGGCGCTGTCCAGGCTGCTGACGCTGTCCGAGTTGTGCAGGTGGTGCCAGTGGAGCTGCCGGTAGAGGTTAAGTTTGGACAACTTTCGTGGCTTTCCTACACCTTTCAGTTTTGAATCTGTCTCATCAGGACTCTTCAAGCTGGGAACATTTTTATTAGATTCATTTTTATCTGTGAGGCCTAAGGATTCCATAGACTCTGTGATTGCAGCCTGAAAAAATAATTAA